GGCAGTCAGATTTAGCAGGGATCAGCTGTGCTCCCAAGGTGGGAGAGAGCAAACAGACAGCAGAATATCCCCCAGCAGCAGGTGAAATATTGATGCTCCGAGTAGTTGAGGATTCTGTTTTGCCAGTTGCCATTTAAAAAATGGATCACTGAGGTGCATTTGGGAGGTGTGGAAGTCCTCACACATGTAAAGTGAGCACAGGAGAAGGTATTTTCAGAGAAGACAAATGCTTTTTTGCCCTTAAGACAAGTAAATAATAATCCAGCTATTTTCTCAGCAGTTCCCTTTGACGGAATACACATCAACAGACTGGAAAAACACATCCCAGGGATGCACAAAACCACCTGAAAATTAAAGGTTTTGGTGAAATTTTGCAGCTGAAGAAAGCTGAAATATTGGACTGCTGGACTCAATACAAAAGAAGACCCCAAACCCAGGGCTGGCTGTTCTGGAGGAATCCACACCAGCACTGGAGCAGATATATATATATATATAGATAGATAGATAGATATATAGATATAGGGGTATATAGATTTTTTTTTCTCCATGTTGATGTTTATCAGTGAACAAGGTGTTGCTGGTGACTCCCACAGGCTAATGTCCCTTATTCCATTTTCTGTAGCTGTCCACCTTGTCCTTGCTTTTTTAAAGTGAGGGATGACAGGCCAAGCCTTTGCCCCAGCTCCTGCTGGCAGATGGCACCTTAACGAAGCTCCCACCCCTAACGAGCACTCAGCTTTGTGTGAGCATGAAGTGCTGCTGAAAGCCAGAGGTGTGTTTGTTTTATGGCTCAGGGAGGTCATAAAGTAACTGTAGATTTGATCTGTTTTTCCCTAAGGAACATTTTGATACCCCTTGGATATTTGTAGGGCCCCCAACGTCCTGAGGGGTGAACAATCCTTGGGGTTATGGCACACAGATCAATTCTACACCCCCTAAATACTCAGTTTCCTCATCATAAATCTGATGCTGAGCCCTTGCATGCTTTTTCTCCACCTGAACTTGTAAAAAGAAGAAAAAAGGAGGTGGATTTTCTCGCCCATCTTTTACTCTTCCTGCTCTCAGGAGACTTAACTCCAATTTTTGCCCATAAAAAAAGCCTCCCAGGCTAATTTTCTAAATGTTTCTATGCTTCTTCTTGATGGTTGTGGGTTTCTGCCAGAAATTTGGGCAGAATTGTTGCCTTTTGTGCCAGCTGAAGTATCAGTTGTCTGGTCTGAAGGGAGGGCAGGATGTAAATAGATGTGAAAATCGAATTTAGGAATACAATTTGTTTGTGAGTGAGTGGAGAGAGAAAACATTTATCCCAGTGGTTTGTGGAGCTGTTCACACCTCGGGAATGATCCCTTGTGGGAGTGGGAATGGACCTGCTGCTGGATAGTTTCAAAGTAGATAATCAGCTGGTATATCCTTAAGTGTTTTAATTAGAGCCAAGTGAGGCTGTTAATGGATGGATTCAGGGGTTCTCTTAAGTAGAGGCATAAGAAGCTGGAGAAATAAGGTTTTAGTAAGGACCTGGGTGAATAAAAAAACCCCAAACCTAGACAAAAATACTTCAAAGATTAATGGAATCCTTTCTTTTTTTAATGGAGAAAAAAATTCTCAATAACCTTGAGAACTGATCATTAACACTGACTGTTCTCACTAACGTTGCCCATTGATCCCTAAGATTTCAGGGAGCTCTGAGCTGGCTCTGGCTCTAAGCTGTGCTTTGGGTGGCTTAACCAGAATATCCCCAGGTCTGGTTTGTGTCTGTGGTCAAAAAAGAATTTCCAGTTCCTGCCTGGATTCCTGTAGGAGAGGCTGGAGATGCAAGGTTGGCAATAAAGGGAGCAAATAAAGTGAGTTTGTGATCCCCGAGGCTGGAATCCCATCTGGGGGCTCTTGAGGTGGCTCTGGAGGCATCTCAGGTGTGTCACCTCTGCACACCTGGCTCTGCAGCCTTCTGCCATCCCAATTCCCACTCCAGGCCAGGAGAGTCCACTGGTGGGACTGGGCTCGGTGTGTTCCAGACCTGGCGCTGCCCACGGACCCCTCTGGTGACCCACAGGCTGGACCTGGGGGCTCTGTGTGTGTGGGGATGAGTTGGGAAAAATGGCCTTTGGGAATTGTGCAGGGAGGGAATAGCAGAGGAAACCCCAGCTGTGGGCAGCTGTGCTTCAGAACTGCATGTTTTTCCAGGTGGATTAACACAGGCAATTGATCTCGAAAGGTTTTTTTCCCCCCCGAGGATTTGGGTTTTCTCAATTCCTTCTGAAACGTTTCTCTTTAAAGAGAGAAATGTCTGTAGCGCTGAAACAAAATCTAGTGTAAAGGAATTGCTTTAAAGGAAAGAAAAGACAGCTTTTTGTGCCTGATTTGAGTGCCATGCCTGTGTTTTTTTTGCCCTGTAGCTGTTCCAAAGACCCAACGCCCTGGCGGTGCAGCAGCTGACGGCAGCACAGCAGCAGCAATACGCCCTGGCTGCTGCCCACCAGCCACACATAGGTAAGTCCTGCCTTAAATCCATCCCATTTCACTGCCCTTCTCTTAATCCAGCGGGAAAACACCAGGGAGAAAAAAATCAGGAGGTTTCAGAGGGTGTTTCTGTAGCTGGTAATCAGCACACAAGTGGGAGTGGATTGGTTAAAGATGTGCTTGAAAGATTTGGTGGGTATCTCTTGCACACTTGAGAAGGGTTTAAAAGAGCTCTCATGTCTGGCAGGATTGACACTCTCACCCTTCTGAGAGTGCTGCTCAGTCAGGAGAGCCTTTGGAGGTCCTTGCTTGCTCTGAGTGAGGCATAAACCAGGGTAAGCAGCACAATAAAGGGAGGGGAAAATGCCCAGTTGAATATAAATCTGGATGTGCTGCCTGTGGTCCAGCTGCCTGGGGTCTGACTTTATAATTGAAGGATAAAATTCATGCAAACACATGGTTCATATTATTAAAAGAGTACAGACTAACTGGTGAGAAAGCCCTTAGTCCTGTGCATAGAAAACAGGGAGAACTGTAGGAGTTCTACTCCTGGATGATAAGGGTTGAACCATCTTAGGGTTAAACGTTTTTAACACATTAAGCATTTTAAGTGAAATTTTTCCAACCCAGAATCCCACTAGAAATGTGTTGGGACTCTCCCAGCTCTGTGCAGTGCCCTTGTGAGCTCAGTGGAGTTCAGGGATAGACCTGAATTTGAATTATTTGGCTTTTTAACTTCCTCCCCTTCACCTTTCCTCCCCTCCCCACCCCTCTCCCGCCCACCGGGGATTTCTCTAATGATTAAACTGTTCCTTTGCAGAGACAGGGAATGCCTGTACACCCCTGAACTCCTTCCAAACTAACCAGTTGGAGGACTGGTGTCCTGTAATGGGCATGGAACTCAAAACAGGGTAGTTTGGGTCCTGACCTACTCGCTGTAGGAAATGCAGAGTAATAACAAGCACTTAGTTTGTGTTACTCTCCATTCACCTGAACAGTAAAGATCTGTCAGCTCCTACCTGAGCTGTTTTATATAAGTATTTTACCCCTTGAGCTTTCCTCAGGGAGCATTCCATCCTTGGAATTCATTTTCCTTTATGTAAACTCTGTTAAGACTCAGCACTTTCTCACTCGCGATAGAAAACCCCTAAAAAGCTTAAAAATACTAAACCAACCTGAGTTTTGTGTTCCCCAGGCAGGTGGCCAGAGGTGTTCTGGTAGGGCTGCAGCCCCAGTTAAGTTTGTTTTCACTGACAGGTATGTTTTCAGCAGGTTTAGCTCCTGCTGCCTTTGTTCCCAACCCCTACATCATCAGCGCGGCTCCCCCGGGGACGGATCCGTACGCGGCCGGACTGGCGGCAGCTGCCACCTTAGGTGAGACCCTTCCACTTGTCTGTGCCTTCCTCTGCACCAAAACTGCTCTGAGCCTGTCCTTGAGAGCATCAAACACCAGCACAGTGTGATTTCTGGGGGGAGATAATTGATACGATTGTTTGTCAGGGAGTAGAAGTAGAATTCGCCGTGGAAACTCCGTTTTCTGGGGGTTAAATGTGGTAATTCTTGTTTAACACTTGCTGTGGGTTCTGCTCTGGTGGTTTCTCCTCAACCAGAGCAAATCTCAAATGAAGCACTTGCAGACATAAAAGTTTGGGGTGTTTTGGGGACTGACAGGAGCGAGAAATACCTTTGAAAATCCACTTATTAAAGATGGAGGACTACGCCAAAACTGCTCTGGGTGTGTGATTCTGAAAATCAAACATCAGTACATGGTGATTTCTGTGGAGAGATAATTGATATAATCATATGTCAGGGAGTACAAACAGAGTTTGCCATGGAAACTCTGTTTTCTGTAGATTAAATGTGGTAATTCTTGTTTAACACTTGCTGTGGGTTCTGCTCTGGTTGTTTATCCTCAACCAGAGCAAATCTGAAATGAGCCACCCGCAGACATAAAAGTTGCTCCATGTTTGGTGAGTGACAGGAGCCAGAGATACCTTTGAAAATCCACTTATTAAAGGCTGGAAAGATGAGGGTGTTTTTCCCTGCCAGGGAAGTTGTGTCTCGTTGCTGTTCAGCTCGATGTGCTTTGGTGCATCCTGCAAAAAATGAGACCTTCCCTTTTGAGGAGTCTGGGGAGAATTTACCCTTTCCAGGCTCTCCAGGTAAAAACATCCCCTATCTGCTGTGAGGCTGGGAATGTGCACTTTCCCAGATGGCAGGGGAGGATGGAGGCTCTTGTCTTCGTGCAAGATCTCTCTCCAAACGTTCATGTATCAGTTTCCAAATTCTTCCCAACTGTCACAGCCAGAATTGTTGTATCTTGAGGTGCCAGCTCGGTGCAGCAGCTTATCAGGCAGTGTGGGGAACACGCTGGACGTTGAACTTTTGCTGTGTGAGCCATAAAGTTCTTGCCTAATGGTTGAGGACAAAGGAAGAACGTGCTTTCCAAAGAGCATTTTCATAACCAGGCCTTGCTTTCCTTGACCAAGAGCAGAGGGAGCATTCTGTGCTTCAGATAAAATCTGCTATGGGGGGTTTTATGTTTCGCTGTTGCCACGCTCCACTTACAACTTGGATGTTCACTGCAAACCTCTCCCATTTTGGGATGGCTTGTCCCAAATCCAACCTATGAGGTGTGGGTTGTACATGGATGTGACACCCTGGGGTTTGGGACGTGACTCTGTGGCCTGTTAACCAGCTCTTACATAACCCCTGCTGAGCTTTTAATCTTGGAGACCCGCATCAGGTCAAGCTCTGAAATGGGATTTCACCAACTGTTACCCACTTGGAGGCAGTTTTTAGTGGATGATATGGATGGATGTAAAGTCCCAAGATCATGATTTGAAGGTGTGGGCTTTGCACTTGGCTGCTGTGAGTTGTGTGTGGGGATTGTGTAATGGCACAGCGAGGTTAGGGGGAGGTAACAACACGTTGTTGGCAAACAAATCGACGCCGTGATTACGTGGGAGGGAGCCAAGAGTTAGAGTACAAGGATATTCCTGATAGCCCAGGCCCTGATAAACCACCATGTGATGGTGAATGTAGTGGTGAATGAATGAGCTGAACTGCTGTTGGCAAACAGAAGTAGGAAGTTCAGTGAGGACTCAGGAGGGAAGAGGTCCCAGAGCAGCAGCAGTTCCAGTCCCAGGCAGGAGGGTGATTTGGGGATGATTCCTGGAAGAAGAGGTTTCTCCTCGGCCTTTTTGTAGCACCTCAGTGCTTCTAAAGCTCAGCTCTGAGGAACACACTGAAGTGCAGTGGAGCAGCAGGTCAGCATCTTGATTTCATAGAAAAACCACGTGGAAATGAGCCAGATTTCTAGGAAACACCGAGTGTTGGCCACAACTGGTTTGGGGTTTTTTGTTGTTTTGTTGTTTTTTTTTTTCATTTTTCTCAGCAGTGTTGAAGCTGCAGCTGCTGAATGTCTGACTGGTGCCTTAGACATTTGAACTGGGAAATAACATACCCCAGGGTATCTGAAGCATTCCAAAATTTGGCACCAGAGTCTCTACTTGAATAATTTTTAAACTTTGTGACACTTAAAAGCGAAGCCAGAGAATGAGCAGTGCACTGCAGTGTATTTATGGTATTACACCACTGAGAAATACAAGTTACTTTAACCTTCTTATTGGTTTTAGACCCTAGAAATGGCCAGATAACAAAATTCTTGTTGATGTTTGTTTTAGGAAAAGCATCTTTTCTGTCTAGACTTGAGCAGTTTTGAGAACCTCTTTTCTGTAATGAGAGGGAGGGACATGGGACAATTTAAATATTTAGAGTTACACATTAAATCCAAAAGGCCTCCCTGATGTGTGTGGAAGTGTTAAATTGGGAGGACTTGAAGAAGCTCATGAGATGGAAGGAATGAGTTTAGAGTTGGTGCTGGTTTATTGCTCACAGTTACTCTTTGAGTGAAGGGGAAACTTGTGTGTGTGTTTTATGGCAGAGATAACCTGTCAATTAAGGTTCTGCCATTATGGCAGCTTTTTCATGACTGTAAGACTGTCAGCTCTGTGATAATACTCTTTTCTTCCCAACAATAGCAGCATTTTAAAGAACAAATTTGAATGCAGAGGGAAGGACTTCTAGAAAAAAACCCCTCACTTATGAGTTTAAACCATGGGGAAGATGCTGCTGTCTTTGAAAAGTGCTGTGATTTGCCTTCCATCATTTGGGAAAGATGTCACTCAAAAAAGAGAAATCTTGCCTTTTTTAAGGCCAGTTGGGAAATGATTCAGGTAGAAAAGTGATTCTGCTCTTTGCAGAGAGGGGGGTGATCTGCACGCAGGGAAAGCTCAGTGCTCCCAGCACAGGGTTTGGAGGGGAGATCCTTAAGCCTGGCTCACTTGATGCTGAGCTGTGCCCAGCTCAGAGCTGGAGCCAGCTGTGGATGCAGGCACACACCTTCCAGCTGGGATTTGGGAGCACCTGCAGCTGGATTTCAGTGCTGTCCTGCAGGGCTGTCTTTCCTCCTCTGGATCAGGGGCTTCACCACCACTCTGGAAGTTGAGCTGTTTCTCCCCCCCATCCCTAAAAGGACATGCTGGGAATTCCCAAGGGATCACCTGACAACTCACTGGAATCACTGATTTGCTGTTTTCAGCCTTGTGTTTGAGGTCCTTGAGGCTGTTTACCCTGGTGCCACTATTCCTCATCCTTGGCTGTTCCTGCAGGGAGCAGGTTCGGCTTCTGCTCGGAGAGATTCCAGTGTGGAGGTGGAGACTGAGAGCAAACAAACTGTGTTCTGAACACACTTACAGCTGGATTGGTAATGTTTCTTGAAAGGAGTATTTGTGGGTGCCTGTGGCCCACGTGTGAGACGTGGCAGTGGGAAGATTTGGGTTCAAAGGCCCCGGAATGGCTTTTATTTTCCCAGGAATGCACAGCTTTAATTAGTGCCCAAGCAGGTGCAGCATCTCCTGCAGTGAGGCAGCACTGGGCTGTTTCTGGGAGTCTGGCAGTGATGACACACTTGCCCTCACTGAGAACACTGTTCAATAATGAGCCTCACCGTGTGCTCAAAGGAGCTGAGCCAGACTTGCAGCCCTTTTAAGCCCAGCTGCCTGAAAAACTTCAAAGCCTCCTTGTCTCCTCTGCTTTTAAACACCTGAGGCTTCTGCAGCTCGGATGAGCAACCTCTAACTAGGAGAGAAAAGCCCATCTAGGCCGTGCTTGTTTGATAATTAGAGCTGAGACTAAAATACCCCAAATTTTGCCCAGATAAAAGGTACTGCAGCAACTTCCCAGCAGCCTGAGGGCAAATGCAGGGTAATTACTTGCACGAAGTGAAGCAGTTGCAGCTCTTTCCCTGTTGGGTGCAGGAGAACCCCAGCAGTTGGTGTCTGATCTGCATTCACTGAGTGTAAACAGGTTGTAGGAACCCTCTAGTTACGTGTGTGTAACTGCTGAGGTCAAAACAGGCACCACCACCAGGCACTGATTAATTTGCTGCAGCTTTTCTTCATTTTAGCTTGTGAATTTGCAGGTTGGAAGGTAAGAAATGAGTGGTTGCTGCTCCAAGAGCACTACTGAGTAAGAGAAGGTCACCTTCTCTGCCTGACACAGTAAATCCAGCAAGGAGGGGCTTCAGGGCAGAGCTTTAGTGAGAGACACAAATCCAGATGTTCAGGAGTGCCTGGCATCAGGGATCAGGGTACTTGGGGCATCTCCCTGCTGTGCACAGAGCTGGGCACCTAAATCCTGAATCTGGGGGAAGCACAGTGGTTAAAACCAGGGTGACATAAGAAGAGTGACTAGTACATGTTTGAAATATGGATTTAATATCTGACATGAAATATGGAATGAATATCCCCAAGTGTTGCTGAATAGGCTGTGGGAGCAGGAGCTCATCCAGGCTGAGATCCAGGCTCTTCCACAGTGGATGGCTTTGGCATTCTGTGGGAATTAATTTGAGCCAAACATGTTACTGTGAAAAAAAAAACCAAACAAAAAAACAAAAGAAAAAGGTACTTCTAAGATTAGTCTCCTTTGTCATATACAAGTTTACACTCAGCAGTGTCTTTTTCCATCTCCTTTACTACTGTCATCCCTCATTTTTCATAGAATCCTGGAATGGTTTGGCCTGGAAGGGACCTTAAAGTCCATCCAGTTCCACCCCCTGCCATGGGCAGGGACACCTTCCACCAGCCCAGGTTGCTCCAACCTGGCCTTGGACACTTCCAGGGATCCAGGGGCAGCCACAGCTTCTCTGGGCAACCTGGGCCAGGGCCTCCCCACCCTCTCAGGGAAGGATTCCTTCCCAATATCCCATCTAACCCTGCCCTCCCTCACCTTAAGGCCATTTCTGGGGGAAATACAATACTTAATTTCTTTGGGCCAGTGCTCAGCCCATGTGTCACACTCCTAACTCACAGCAACACTGCAGTGCTTGGTTAGAACCCCAGTGCTCCCTGTCTCTCCTTAAAAAAAACCTGCTATTTTTATTCCAAATATGAACAAAATTGATTAAAGACTCATTTATTCCACAGTGTCAGACGTGACTGTGACACTCGACCTGGTTCCTCCTGCTGTGGGGAAGGGGCCTGTGGGATGAAGGATGTATTTAGAAAGGAAAGGAAATACTTCTATTTTTCTGCTGACCTTTCTAAAAGATATCAAACAGTCATATTAAAAAATATTATTGGATTCACATCCCTGTTATTTGGTGGGAAGGACTCCTCCCTCCAGCACAGAGTGCTCCCTGCTTCCTCAGCCTTGTGCCAAGTGGGATTATTTAAGGATAGAGGTTCCATCCTGCTATCTCCAAATTGTGTGTGGTGTCCTGAGACCTGATAAAACACAGTGTATCTTCAAAAGGGAGGCTATTTCTGCTGCTCTCCAAGATTATTATTATTTTTTAAAGCCTCTTAAGTTGGAGGAGGGAATGTGAGAAGAGACAGGATCGTGCAGCCTCTTTTCTGGGGGTTTGCAAATGCAAAGTAGGACTGAGTGGCTGGAAAAATAGCATTAAACACTTGAGAATTGATGCTATTCAGCTGTGGAGAGGTTTTGTTAATTTACCGAGGAGCTAAATGGTAGATGAGCTGTGAATGTCAGCTGAGATTAGAAGTTTATCTCCGTGCTTAAACACGGTTCCCTCTCTTTTGGTTAAAGTTTCATTCCTTCACTACAAAATTAGGGCACAACAATAAACCCAACTTTCAACAGGATCACTGGCAGCTGAGTTTGACCTCCTCCAATAAGGTAAAAGTAAGTGAAGATGGAATTTCAGGTTTGACTTGGAAGCTTTTTAGAAATGTGTAATAAACGCCCGAATCCCTCTGTACTTGCGGAGGATTTCCCGGGGCTCCCGCTGAGATGGGATTTGCTGAGCCAGGTGTGCTGAGCAGAGGTGTTTCTGACTGTTGGAGTGTAACCCTTGTCCTGACCCAGCAGCTGACCCGTTCCCTCGGTGTTGCAGGCCCGGCTGTTGTCCCTCACCAGTACTATG